AGCAGCAGCTCCTCGGAGTCCGGCAGCAGCAGCTCCAGCGGGTCCAGCTCCGACAGCAGCGACTCCGAGTGAACCCCGTACTCAGAGCAGAGCGGCCAGCAAGTGTCCCTGCCGAGTCCCCCTCCTTAATACACGACTTCGTTCCATGGCGTGCGGGCTTTCTTTTTAATTCAGTGTTATGGTATCTTCCAGTTTTTGCTTTAATAGGTCAAAGATCTTTTTTGTGTGTCCATTAGACTTTATGAGAAGGTGTGACTCTTCAAAGTCTTTGGTAACTGAGTTCAGTCGCTTGGAGATGACAATTTCAAATGCTGACCTGATAACCGTAGAAAAATGTCTAAGATAGGACCTGAAGGTTCTTGCAAAATCCCTCTTCTGATGCCCCACCTGGTCTGTAGCTCCAGAGAGTCTTTTCAGAGGAGTTTGCAAGCAGGAGTTGTTCTGTCACTGGGGCCCTGAGCCCTGACCCTGGCGGCGGCGGCGGAGTCAGCCCCTCCTGCAGCACACAGGACAGACATGCCTGGGAGAGCTGGGGCAGGGCCTGCGCGACGGCCCAGGCGGCTGCGCCTGGCGGTGGGGTGGCCGGCAGGGGCGTGTGGAATGGGGGGCATGTGGGCAGTTCTGATCTCCCTGGTGTCAGGAGCCCCTGGAAGGGGATACGGCGGCTGCGTGTGCAACTTGGTTTCCATACACTGAAACTTTTACCTCAACTTAGAAAAAAAAGATAAAAAAAAAAAAATAGACACTTTTTTGTAAGGTTCAGCAATTTTCTACGAAAGTCCAGCCCAATGTGTGTCCCCGACTTGTTTGCGCTGCCGCACACTCTGGAACCATTTCCCGAATTCATGTATATATGAAAACTTTATTTATTAACATCATTGGTCATTTTTTTTTAAAAAAAAAACAAAACTGCAGGAGAAATGCATTAAAAAAAATAACAGAAATGCAGGCTTTTCAGTGGTTTGAAGGGGAGCCCCAGACCTGCCCAGACAAGGGCCTCTCCCCCGGGTGCTAGCTTCCTGTCACCTGCGCCGGTGCTCAGCCTTGTCTGCACGCCCACCCTTCTCTGGGTTCCTTGGGGTTTTGTTCTCTTTTGTGTACGAACAGGTGTGGACTGCACATCCTAATTTTTTATTTTGTTTAGTCTTTTGTATTCACTTCTGGTCTCTTTAGGACTATTTTAAAAGAAATCAATTTAGGGAACCCCAGTTATATAATATAAACTTTGTAATCTGAGAGAAAAAATGTATAGTAAATCTAAGTCTTGATTTTTAACTTTCTATTGTAAAAAAAAAATAATAATAATAATATACAGAGTTTAACTGAAGGTTCTGTTTTGGTTTTGTTTTTTTTCCAGAGGCTGCCATATGGCCTTTTGGGTGCAGGGTGCCCCACGCTGCCTGCCCAGGCTCTGAGCACTGTGGCTGTGGCCTAAAATGCGAGGGCTCAGCCTTCCAGGCCCCCACGGGGGCGCCCCTCACCTCCGTGCCTCCAGGAGCTGCGGCCGCACGGCCGTACAGTCTTCCAGCCGGCCGGAGGGCTCCCCCTGGCCTGGTTCCTCCCTCCAGGGCAGAGAAAGCCTCTGGCTCCAGGAGGGCTCCTCCCTGAAGACTCCACAGGGCTCCCTGCTCAAGCATTTTCCGGGTAGCACAGAAATGACCAAAACAGGGCATTGTCCCAGGCCTCCCTGTGAGGCCTTCAGTGAGGTGGGTGCTGGAGGTGGAGCCGGGGTGGCTGCCTTTTGCCGGGTGGGGGGGTTCCTGTGCCAGCACTGCTGGATGGGCAGTGGGACTAGTTGTAAGTTTCCTAATCGGTAGCAACTATAAGAAATCATAAAATTGATTGTGATCCCACCAACCCTTATAGTTATGGATACCCTTGATGGATACAGAATTCTGGTGAGGCAGTGCTGGCGGATTACCATTTTTCTTACTGCTGGTGATTCTGACACTTGGTGAGTTTTGAGCCAGTTTGTTAAACTTTCAATTAAGTTTTGTTTATAATAAAAATATCTGTGGATTTTAAACTTGCCATTTTTTTAAAGGTACCCTTGGTTTTCAAAGGTGTTTTCTAAACAGATCTTTAATGAAGTATTTAAATTATGACTTTAAGGAATTAATACATTATAGAATCAACAGGTCTTAGAGCAGGATCACATTGGCAGGTCCAGCCGTGCACATCTGGGAGAGAAACACCCGAGTCGCGGGTGCCTGGAGGTGCGTGTGGACGTGCGTGGAACACCTCTCCAGCTGTGAGACAGGGAAGGGTTACCTGTGTGAGCTGCTCAGGGTGGGGGCAGGGGACATCTGGCCCTGGAGTCTAGCAGGCGGGAGCGTTTCAGAGCTTGTCACGACCCACTGGCTCCCTGTGACACGTGGATTCTCAAACCAGCTTTGCTCTGTTCACCCAGGAAGGATCGGTCACTGGTCTGGCAGCTCACCGAGGGCTGCCGTCCATACTGAGCAGGGTTCCTGGGTGCTGCGGCTTCTCAGGCTTTCTGTCCAGACTTCAGAGCTGGTTTCAGAGTTCTGAGGGAACCTCCTCAGCCCCCTCGAGGTCAGCCGGCAGGGTTTGCCATTTCCATTTCTCTGTCCCGGGAGGACCGCAGTTGGACAGGCAGAGTTGGTGCAGTGCCGAGAATTGCAGGGCAACCTTTCGGGTGCTTTTTTCAAGGGGAAAGGAACAGTGCGTTAAGCAGGTTGGTCAGTTAAGTGGGTGTGAGCCCCTGAGGCTGAGGGGGCAGGCTTCGGGTGCTCACTGAATTCCAGAGACCCTCGCTCATGCTGTGTGGTGTTATCTTGCTTACAAACTGTTAAGATGCATTTTCTTTTTCTTTTTGTTCTTTTGCAACATTCACGTCTTTTACAGTTGTTTGGGAAAAAACACCACCCATGATAAAGGATTTGTTATATCCAGTGTAGCGCTGTTCCTTAATACTGGCATAACACTTCCAGGAAGTTTTCTTTTTTATATTTAAAATGTTACTTTTCTGTATGATGTGCATGCAAGTTTACCGTAACTTTTCTTAAACTTTTTAGTGCCGTTTCTAGTATATTCCTGTAAATGTCAGTTACTGAAAATGAGTCCAATGTAAGTAGTTTTAGCTTGTTTATTGCAATGCTGGCCTCAACACAACAGAATAAAAATGGTAGAAAGTACTCTTTGATGTTTCTGGTAATCATGGACCCTTCTCCTGGGCATTTGTTTTGTTTTCATAATAAAAGGAAAAACCCAACCAAACACGGAGGTGCCTGTGTGCCTATTCCTGCGCTCCCTGGGCAGCCCCACCTCCGTCCGCTTGTGCTGATGTCTGCGCCCGCCCGGAGGCTGCTCCCCGCACTTCCCTCGCTGGCGCACAGTGGCTGGCGGGGGGGTGAGCTCCTCGTTCTCCACATCCCATAGCTCCTGGCTGAAATACCCAAAGCAGCCAAACGGGGATTTAAAAATCTGCTTCAGTAGCTCTGGCCTTAGCCTGGACTGGGAGGCACCCAGATTTGGGGAGCGTCATTTTGTGCTTCACTAAGAATGTGAGTCCCTTCTCAGTTAATTAGCTTTCTGAGAACAGACCACCCTCTTCATGGATGTGCCGGCCTTCACTCAGTCACCAGTCCTCCAGGCAAAGCCTCCTACCCATTCCTCGGTCTGCACTGAAGTGGTATCCGAGGCGATAAGCATCCTGTCCAGCTGGCCAAATGGGACATTTCCCTGAAACCACCCTGGGCTAGCATTTACATGCTGAGGTTTCTACCACCCTGTGCAGAGCCTGACATAGTAGTGGCTTCAGGGGAGAAAGAATGAGGTGTCAAGACAAGTGAGAGTTGACACCATTTGCAGAACAGTCACGGCTATTCAAGCCAGGCCTAGCAGAGACTTCCTGGGAAAAAGTTTGCGATGGCCCAGGTCCAGGCCTGATGACAGCCCACCACTTGGCACAAGTCACCCTAGTCCGGACTCTTACCCCTGTCATTTAGACTTCCCCAGGGACAGGGATTGGGCTCTGTCCATCTCAGTGTTCCCAGCCCCAGTGGGGGAGGCCCACTCCCCAGGCTTCCTTCAGGCAGATGGTGTTTCTGAACACTGTAAGCAGCTTAGTGTCAGCTGTCATGAATGGCCAGGTCACCTGCCTGCCTGGACCTGTGCAGACACAGCTGTGGCCAGTGCTCATACTTGCAGGCGCTGCCTCCGCTGAGGGCCGACCCCACCACTGCCTGTCCTTAGGTTAATGGGGTGTGGTGAGCATGCGGCACAGGCTTTCCAGAGAACTCTGCAGTTTGCTTTCTTCCCAGGCAGGACTTAAACTGGAGAACTACAAAGATGTTGACGGCCTATGTCCTGGGCCTGGTTGGACTAGCCCTACTGCAGAGGGCTTTCTCCGTGGAGATGGCCAGGTTTCTTTCTTCAACTCTGGGAGGTGATTCAGGCAGTCTTGACTTACGCCTCCCCACCTGAGGCAGTGAGCAGGCTGAGGCCGCAGCAGCAAGCACCAGGCCTCCAGCTGGATGTGTGATGGCGTGGGGTACAGTCTGGCCCAGCAGTTCCACTCCAAGGATGATGTTTGCCAGCAAGCTGCATACCTGCGAGAACCATGGTGAGACACACTCAGGACACGCTGTGCACAGCGGCAGCAGGAACCATCTCTGCCTGCTGTGGACACACAGATGTACTGCTAGCCATTCCTTCAAAATGCGCTGTAAATTCCCTGTCTGTACAGAGCAAGAAAAAATGACAGAACAAGACGCATGGTGCAGGACGCTGCCTCAGAACCATGTGACTGCACACACCTGCGCCAAGCTGTGGCCCGTGGTCTCGGGAGGCCACGTTTGCTTTGTGCATTTCTGTGTTGGGGCTTTTAGCCATCATGAGATCCTACTGTTGTAAAAAAACAAAAAAACCCTGAAAACCAAGTTAAGATAGGAATGAACACACAAGACGGTGAGGAAGGAAGGAGAGCCCCAAAGGACAAATAAATATAGAAAAGAAATCAGCTTTGACAAAAGACACACGTTTGCACAGCCACACAGGCTTTATATAAAGCAGACAGCAAATAAAATGACTCCTAAAAACTGCCCCCAGGAGGGCTGGGGCTGCCTGTGTGCAGTACTGACCAACATGCCTCAGGCACACGGGTACAGGGAGCTGCGGCCGGCCGTGGAGCAGAGCGCGGCTGAAATGCCAGCTGAGCACCTGCTTATTTCAGCCACGTGACTAAATCTGAACTGACTAAACAACTGTAGAACTTAATTTTTGGTTTCCTTAATGTTTTTTGGATGCACTGGCCCACAAGCCTTCAAGTATTTGGAAGCCAGTGAAGAAGACGCCGTGATGCACTGGTCGAGGATCATTTTGGTCAGCAGACAAGAAGTGCAGGGGCAGGAGGTTCCTGTCGCAGAGCCGCGGCCGCCGCCATTTAGGTTAAATCCATCCCGGTCCTGCACATGGACTTTCAAAAATATATGATGCCAATCTCCACCTTTTTCAAGATCTGACTCATTCTTTACGGGGCAGAAGTGAATACTAAAAACCCCTACAAACACTTGAAATGGTTGTTTGTATGGGGTGTCTCTCTCGCTTGCTTGGGAGAACAGAGCAGCAGCATCTGCCGGTGCCCAGCTGGGCTGTGTCCATGGGGCCTGGCGGGACAGAATCCAGAGGCTAAGCCGTGCGACAGGGCTGGGGAGCCGTCGTCAGAATTCTTTGGTTCCCACCCCACAGCCTGTTCACATTCCCTGTGCAGAATCTCCCAGAATCAACAGGAAAGCTGGAAACAGTCATATTCCTCACAGCGCAGCGCCTGGCCTGTGGTTTTCATGCTGGAATTACATAATTGTGCAGAACTTGGACTGGCCCGTGTCCCACGAGACCCCAAGCTTGTTTCTGTCCCGGACTAGGATGGCCTCGTTTCCGTACTGTGAGTACCACGCACTCCGGCTCCTGCTCAGGTACGTCCCGGGGGGCGCAGACTCCAGCTTCAGCTGCTGCCGTTGCCAGATGAACAGGGAGGTGTCCCTGTACCGCTGCCGGGCGTGGCCTTCAGACAGCGCTTTCTCTGCCAGAGGGACGCGGCCACTCATCCCTGGCCCCGCCTCCCCTCCGGGGCCTGCGCACGAGGCCCCCCCCAGACAGTCCTGTGTGGGCAGCTGCTGACGGCTTTGCACTAAGTGCACTAATTACGATTTTCAGCAGTTGGGTCTGGGGATCCCTTATTGAACTGAATAACAGAAATGAGTTCAGGCCATTTGTAGGCAACACCCTTAGGAGGGCTGCGTTGCAGGGAGACTTGAGGAGCCTGTGAGCATTGTGAGTAGACTACCAAAGTACCACATGTGAGATGGCACGTGGCTCAGTGGCACCTTGGCCACAGCTCTTCCCGGGGACTGCTGCGTGCACCCACCTCGGGGACTTGTCAGGTGTCTACTGCGATTCGGATGCCATGGCTGGGGCTGCTTAACTTGAGACGTGCCTGGTGTCCTGAATGAAAGGACATTGTACAACTCGATGGAAATTCGGGGCCTTGGGGCCGGCGATGCTCAGTGCTGCTTTTCTGGCCCGTCGTCAGCGCTTCCCCAGGGTAGTGCTACAAAGGAAGCGACAAGAAGGACCCGTGGCGATGGTAGGTTTTACGGCACAGAGTTTTTAACTCCTCGGCTCAAAGCCTTCACCAGGCTACGTGACACATTTCGGCATTTCCCTCACCCCCTGGTGACTGAGCCTGGGTGTAAGAAACGGACCCGCGCCTCTCCCAGTTCCTTTAGTACCTGGCGGCGGTGACGCTGGGGGACCGGCCGCCCGTCTCGTTGGCGTCCGTGTCTGCGTGGAAGTCCCAAGAACTTGAAAGGGCACAGGGTTCCGGGGGCCGTCCGGACGCGCCCCTGCGCTGGGCGGCGCGCGCCTAGGCTGCCCATGCGGGGACGGCCTGGTGCTCACCGGCCGCCGGCGCCTTCTTTCTGCTCCGCGCATCCGGGAGGCCCCTGGACCAGAAGGAAAACTGACGTCAGGAGAAAACCAAACCGGGACGCATCCACCATCCTCCCCCTCGAACGCTTTCCCGCCAGGCAGACTCAGTTTCCCTGCTGCACGAGACCCCCCTGCCCCTCCGCGCCTCGGACGCCCTGCACGGCCCGTCCCCAGTGCACCCCCCCACCCGCCTGACCGGCCCCACGGTTGGTCCCGTGGCCGGGCCCGCGCCCCCATCCCCCCCGCATCCCAACCACGGCCTGCGCCCCCGTCGTCCCCATCGCCATCGCATCACCCCGAGTCGCCGTGCGTCCCCATCGCCCCCGCTCTCCGTTACCCCCAAGCCCCCCGCGGCCGCGCCCCAATCACGGCCGTGGGCCCCAGCGACAGGCGGGCGGCCGAGCGGGGCGCGCTCAGGCCGGGTCAGCGTCTCCATGGCAGCGCCGCAGGCGTGCGAGCCGAGCGCCGAGGACGGGACGGCCGGCGTGACGAGCCGGAGCCATCGATCGCCCCGCGGGGGCGGGGCCTCCGTCGTGGGGCGGGGCAGCCGAGCGGCCGCGTGGTTGCGCTCCGCCCTTCCTGGGTCCTGCAGTCGTACTGCCGGTGGTATTGTGTTGCTGCGTGGGTGCGTGCGCGCTGCCCGTGCTGTGCCTCACTCCCGCTATTCGATGCACCTGTTTTAATAATTCAGCGTTGCCCGGGCACGTTCAGAAACGGGTCTCTAATTCACCCACGTCAGCAGCGGGCCGCGCCCCATCCTGCCCTTGAAGAGCAGGTCTGTTTTCCTCTTGCCCCACTTCAACCCTTACTCCCAAAATACTTTCACTTGGTGTCTGCCCTTTGCCTTACTGAAGTTTCATTTTACTGTTTCCCCCAACAGTAATTTAAAAAACCGTGGAAGTGGTCATCCACAGAACAGCTTAAATGCACGCTCTTCCCAAGGACACAGAACATTTATAGAAACTGGCTGCGCGCCAGACCATAAATCAGTTTCAACACATTTCCAAAGTATTTATATCGTACATGAATAGGGTCACAATAAAATCGCCTATAAAACAACAGTAAAAAGACAACTAGAAGAAAACCCATTATACTTGATCATCAATAAATATATTTCTAAATTTTTCATGGGTCAAAGAGGACTTCAGATACAGAGTTTAAAATATTTTAACGGAATGATGATAAAAATACAGCACATCAAAACTTGGGGGATGTTGTTTGACTTGCCAGTGGGTTTCAGCCCTGAGCAAGTTTGCTATGGATTCAGTGTGACCAAAGAAATGACAGTAGAATGTTCTGGGAGTGAAAGGGTTTATTACCCTGCTCATTCTCCTGGCGGTAGACTACCTCCGCCCGGAGCACTGGGCCGAGCTCTCTATATAGCGCCATAATAGCTTATTGCCTACGGGTGTGGAAGCAATATCCTAGTAACAGGCCAATTATGTCATCAAGTGGTTGAAGTTAAATGAAGATCCTGACCATAGGAACCCCAACTTCCCCACACTGTTAAAACCATGCCTGTCGGTAGCCGATAGCCTTAAATGCACTTACTAAAAACATAATCTTACCTGAGGGTTTGAGACCCCTGAAAGTTCACTATGACTTCTGTGAGACAGAGAAATGATGTGGATAAAATGAAGGTTCCTGTGGCCTGGGTTCTCCCACCCTGGTTGGCTAGCTCACTAAACGCGTGTGGGCAATGCATCATTATTGACTCTCTATAAAGAGCCCTGCATTGCCCAGTTCTCTGGGCGACATGGTGTCATGGCTGCAAGGCTGCAGGAGAGCACAGCAGAGGTTGGAGTGGTGGCAGCGCCAAGGACAGAGGCCTGGAGGCAGAGACCAGCTTTCTGGATGCAGACTCACTCTGAGTGGATGCAATTCTAGCGCTTGACCTACCACTGTAGGAATAAAGTTGGGTATAAAACCTTTTACCCCAAGAACATTCCATTGTCATTCTTTGGTCTCATTGAATCCACAGCGAACCTGTGGAGGGCCGAAACCCATTTCCAAGACAAATGACAATGGAACGTTCTTGGGCTAAAAGGGTTTATATCTGGCTTTATTCTAATGGTGGTAAGTCAAGCACTAGATTCACATGTGAATACAGAAGTCTGCAGGTCCCTGATCCACCTTCAATCTGCCTCTGCCCAGAACACTGGGCACAGCTATTTATATAGTGACTCAGTCCATAACAGATCATTGCCAACGGGTGTGGGAGCAGTAGCCTAGCAGCAGGCCAGTTACATCATCAAATAATTTAGGGTCAGGTGACGATTCTGGCCACAGGAACTTCTGTTTTCCCCACATACACATACAGGGTATACATGTGACATATGCGGAAAGTCTTTGTACTCTTTGCAATTTTTCTGTGATTCTAAAACTGTCCCAAACTAAAATTTAAAAGTTATTTTCAAAATAAGTGAAAAGGAAAGTTGCAGAGGTGAGAAGAAATGTGCCTTATCATCGAAAGGGAACTTAAAAATCCAACTGGAGGACAGAAATCACACCAATGACTTGACCAGAGAGAAATTAATAAGGATTTGCTCTCAACTAGGTGACTTTGAGGATGAAGTAAAGGCCTCCGAAGGACCTCAGAGGCAGCAATGGCAGGAAGCAACCACTCCCAAGTGCAAAGGACCAGAGAGAAGAGGGCAGAATTATGAAAATTTAGAAGCCGAGAGGAGGGCTGCTACAGAGCAGAAAGACGTGTGAGGAGGCGTGCTGACAGCTGCAGCCCATGTCTCTGCACTAAGAATAGGGTCCCCAAAGGTCTGGGACCCAGACCCCGAGGAGGGGGGCACCAGCCAGCGGCTGCCTCTGTGCAGCTGCTTCATGATCAAATGGATTTTGTGCTTGTTGGAAAAACTACAAACTGAATTCAGCTGCTGTGTCAAGAGAGCCCTTGAATCCCTGCACCGGGGGGCTGGGGGGACTGCAGGCCGGTGGGAAGCCCTCAGTAAGCAGAGGAGGTGCCACTTCCATCATCCTCGCCTGGCTGCTGACTACCTCCAGCCCCCTCTCTTCCCAGAGAGAAGGAAAAACGAGGTTTGCAGACACCTGGTGCCTGCACCAGATACCAGGTGATGAAGGATGTTCAGATCTGGTTTTAATGGTAAAGGTTTATGGGTGACAGTCACACATCATAACTGGCACGGACTGTCCATTTGTTCATCGACTTCCATACATACATTTCTACACATATTCGAATTTCGTTATCGTCTTGCCAATGGGTTTCAGCCCCAGGCAAGTTCACTGTGGATTCAATGAGACCAAAGAATAACAATGGAACATTCTTGGCATGAAAGGATTTATACCCAACTTTATTCCCATGGTGACAGGTCAAGCACTAGAATTGCATCCTCTCAGAGCGAGTTTGCATGCAGCAAGCTGGTCTCTGCCTCCAGACCTCTTCACCCCTACAACGTCTCAGTCTCTGTCCTCTGTGCTGCCACCACTCCAGCCTCTGCTCTGCTCTCCTGTAGCCACGTGTTGCCCAGAGGACTGGGCGGAGTTCTTTATATAGAGTCAGTAGCAACATATTGTCCACAAGTGTGTAGTGAGCAAGCCTACCAGGACCAGGTGAGAATCCTGGCCATAGGAACCTTCACTTTATCCACAATTATGACTATTGGTATCTGACTTTAGTCCAGATTTTAACAAGCCATGGTGCCTCTTTATCATGCCTGCTGCGGTAGGATTGTATGGCACATGAAACTTCCATTTGATTCCCAGCTGTCGCACCCATTCTTGCAGTGTATGCCCAGTAAAATGGGTGCCCTGTTCACTCTCAATTACCTGTGGTCAGCCATAGGCGGCAAAGAGTCGCTCCAGGCCTCTTTTGGTCACCTGCTGGTCTGCACAACGGGTAGGAAAAGCAACCAGAAGTCCAGTAGCTGTGTCCACACAAGTCATGGCATACTGACATCCTTCTGACACAAGCAGAGGCCCAATATAGTCTATCTGCCACCTAACGAGGGGTATAGGCCCCTTAGCTATTGTTCCATGAACTTGGTGTAAGACCCTTTTGGAGCACATGACACACTCCTGCCAGGCTCTACTAACTTCTTCAAAGGTCAAAGGCAAGCCCCACCGATGGGCTACAGCCCACATTGACTCTTACCTCACATGCAACAAACGCTGATGTAACCATTGGGCTACATCAGAGGCAGGCTTTCCTTCTAACCAACGTGTCTGGGCCAATTTATCTGCTTCATCATTTCCTGGGGATGCCAGTGGCAAACGACCTGTCACATGGTACACTGCAGTTATTTTAGTCTGACCACAGGCCCATAAGTCTTGCCACAATTCCTGCAAGGGGTCAGTGACCAACCAACCAGTTGGCATGGTACCAGTTTAGTAGCCACAGGGTCAAGCCCTGATAGACATCCCAGATATCAGTGCAGACAACCATAGGGAGGGCTCCTGGCTGATCACAAGCCACACGGCCTGCCACTCTGCCCATTGGCTGCTCTTCCCGTCACCATCTTCCATCCATATTGTCTCAGTCTTAGGATGGAAGGCTATGGCCCTCCATTTTGGGGGCTGCCCATGGCTGGAGCCATCTGTGTACCATGCGTCTTTGGGTCTAGGGGCTCTTCCCTCCCGATAGGAACTCTCTGCTACTAATGGTTCAAAAGCAGATTTTCCTGCTTTTCACTAGTATATGTCCCTGGCCCCAATAAGCATTGGAGTTCTTCACTCAAGGGGCTACTAGAGAGGGCACTATGCTGTTGTAGGTAAGCACCCCACTTGGCTAGTGTGGGCATTTGTGCCACAACACTCCTTGGCTTTTGGGTCCAGTCTCATACCCAACCCAAGATGGATAGGTGGTTATTACCTTTATTGGGGCCATTCCAGTGATGGGTTCTGTCGCCAGCAAGGCGTGATACACGACAGCCAATTGTTTTTCTATCAAAGTGTATCGTACCTCTGCCCCTTTCCAGAGTTGTAAACAGAATCCAACAGGTTGGCAAGTTCGTTCAAGCTGCTGCCAGAGACCCCAGCCATAACCGTCTTCAGTCACGTCAACATCCAGCTCACAGGGCCTTGATGGGTCTGTCACACTCAGGGCCTGCACGGCCTTGACTGCCTGTTTTGCTGTAGTAAAGACAGATGCACATGTCTCATCCCAGTCCCACCTGATGCCCTTTCGTACCAACCGGTATAAGGGCTTCAGAATTTGTGGCAAGTGCGGGATAAATACTCTCCAATAGCCTAGAAGACCCAGAAACTCCTGCAGCAATGCTACAGTTGTAGGGGTACGAAAGGCCTGGACTTCATCTATAACTGCTTCTGGTATAACTTTGGTCTTACCCGACTAGACGACCCCCAAGAATTTGACAGACAAACCAGGTCCCTGAACCTTGCTACGATTCACAGCCCATCCTTTCTCCTGTAAATGTTGCAGCAGCCTAGGTGCTGCGCCTTCTAGATCTGAAAGAGAATCATCAATATAACGGTACAGTCACACCGTTGGCGGTTTCTCCCAGGTAGCCAAGCCCTGGGCTGCAAGTCCATGACAGATGGTGGGGCTGTGGAGGAATCCCTGTGGAAGGACGGTCGGTGAAAGTCCACTGCCGTCCTTCCCACGTGAAGGCAAACTGTTCCTGACTTTCCTGCTCAGTGTCAATGGAAAAGAAGCCATTAGCAAGATCTGCCACATAATGGTATGTTCCTAGGTCATGGCTGAGGGCATCCATCAGGCCTGCAATAGAGGGGACAGCAGCAGGCAGAGGGGGTGTGACTTTATTCAGTTCCCTGTA